AAATAGATTGGAAATTTGTGAACTCGTCCTTTAACAGAGCCTCTTTTTTAATCTTCTAATCTTGTCCTCATCCTCCTCATCCTCCTCCTCTGACAGTGAAACACTCTCCAGATTTTTGCTTATGTTTTGGCTTCTTCGTCGCCTCCTCCTCTCTCTGATGTACACGTTTCATTTGGCTTCTTTATTCCCTCCCTCCTTTTTACTTTTCATCCATTCTCTCCACCTCCTCACTGCTTTGTCTTTCTCCTCTTCATCTCTTGTACTCTTCCTCGCTCCTCCTCCTCCCTTCCTTCCTTTCTTTCCCCATTTCCGATTTCAGTTCCTTCCTCCTCTTCTTCCTCACCCCACTCCCTGTTCTCTTTTCTTCATATAATAACAAAAACAAGAGACAGGAAATAAGAGATTGTTGTTCTTTCTCTTCCTCCTCATCTTCCTCACAAGTCACCTGCAGCCGTGTAGCTTGTGATTTTCTCGTCCTCTCTTCTGAAAGAAAAGCACCAGCCACCCGCCAGTTGACCCGTTTGACAGCTCGTTCGTCGGCCTTGTTTACATTCTTCTTCTTCTTTCATCACAGCAGCTGAAGCCGTTTGTCAGTGAAGAGTCAGAGGCAGAAAATATGTTCCCGTCTCTCTGCACTTCTTTTTTGTTTTTGCAACATTTTTCATCTCAACCCAAGATATTTTGGCTCATGTTTCTGCGCTACAGACTGAGATCCAGATCCGAGTGGGAGTTTTGTTCTGTGAATACTCTGATGGTAAAGAAAACTGAGCATAACGTCAGTTTTCACCTGATTCCAATCATTTTCTTGAAAAGAGAAAGGGCTTGTTCTCAGCCTTCAGCTGTTTGGCTGCACACTGCCTCATTCTTGGAGTCTGATTTTGATTTTAACGTTTGCAGAGATGCTTTAAGTGTCTCACCGTCGTTTCTGCTGCTTCAAAGGCAGAGTTAAACCTCGTTTTAAGAACTGATGATGTACGTGAGCGCTGAAGGTGACAGGCCTGGCGCAGCACCAGCACCAAGATGCGGCCCGTGTGTGGTGACTTTGCAGGTTTATCAAAACACGCACCAGAAGATTCATGAACAGTTTCTATCCCAAAGCCATTACCGCTGCGAACTCTGAACTGACACCCTCCAAATACAATCCAGTATTAATGTGCAAAAATGTATTTGTGTAATAATTTATTCTCATGTGAAATGGACCTTTTTTTAAAATTTCTCTTTAATTCATACACTGGCACCGAGTCCATGTTTTGGTGTGTAGTGTGATGCGAGTATGAGCATTTATTTATCTTATCTGTTTTTATATTTATATATTTGAGGCTGGTTCTTGAGTGCACATGAATTTCGTTGCATGTTTTGTACGACGACAATAAAGAACCTTATCTTTATGAAGGTCAGAGCTTCATGCACTCACTGAAGGCACCACATGTTCACTGTGATGATTTGTGTGTGCACACAGTGCTTTGCTTGTGCTGTTTATAAAAAGACTGACAGTTCCCAGGATTCATCCACAGCGGATGAGAACAAGCAGCCTGTTGTGGGGATTGAGGATTCTTGCTTAACTTATATGAGCACAAATACAATGTATGTAGACAAAAGTCTCCACCCTCCTGCTTTTAGTTTTCCCACCAGATGTTGAACCAGTTGCAGGGATTCACTCCCATCTAGACACGAGAACATCAGCACTGATCACAGGTCGGGTGCTGGATGAGGTTGAGGTTGCGATGCTGCACAGGCCGGTCACGTTCTTCCACAGCTGATCAACAAGTCCTCCAGCCTTGTTGGTCCCAGGACCCACAGGAGTGCACCAGAGCTTTGTCAGCAACAATTATGGAAGGGTCATGTTTGGTTAGCTTTAGGGAAGGGTCTCGGTCTAGGTTAAAAGGTTCAGTGGCTGGTTATAATAATAAACCCTTCATTATGGTTATGGACCTTGTTCCTTTCTGCAGATGCTGGGGGTCACCTAACACTCAACCATTTAGCCACACAGCACGCTGTTTGCCCAGGTCACCGATGGCTTTGTGCATGTGGACACTGTTACTGAAGAACACCTGTGTAAGATAACATTACCTTCAGGAGCTTTAAGGTTTCCCTTAAGTGGAAAAACAGATCCGAGTCCATACTTTTGGCCACTTAGTGTAACTAGTGCTCCTTTTTCTCTGTGGACATTGTTTTGCTTCCTGAAGTCCACAGAAAGCCTGGCCATGTGTTTTCAACCTTTGCAAAGGAATCTACCATTGCTGTAGGTGTGTGTGTGTAAGGCCATTGGTTTGCAGCCCTCCAGCATGTTGTCATTATCTGCTCCCAGTTTGTCACCTGCTGTTGTTTAAAAGGGTCAAAACCAAACTAAAGGTTGTTGGAGACTAAAACAGGAGTTTAGTCAGCTGTTTTACAAATTAAAGTCTTCACTTTGCTGGCTGATTTCTTCTCGTGAAAGCTTTGTTGTTTGTTCTCTTGGTGTGATCGCGGCCTCCGAGTCTTTGATTTCGTGCAAAACCCAAACCAGGACTTAGGCTCCAGGACTTCGTTCCTGACCTGCCAGTAAAGTTGCATTAAAGCATCATCTCGGGTTATTTGACATTCAACAGAAATCAACCGTCATATTTGCAAGCCGAGACGACCACAAGTCACGGCACGTGACTTCGGCTTTGCATATGAATGTCACATTATTGAAGCTAACACTGAAGATAAGGCGTGAGCACGTGTCTGCTTTCTGCACGACATTATTGTTCTCCTCGCCTCCTCGAAGCCACCGATCAACCGACTTTTTTGCGTATGATGTGTCGCCGCTTTGTCTCCTTTCAGTTGAGCTGCAGTGGTTAAAAGAACTTGTGCATGGATTTGTTTTTATGTAAAATATCTGTGCGATTTCAATAAACAGAAAAATGAAGCAGATGACGAATGTGGGTTTGGAACCAAAGCGAGACACAAAGAAACACTATACGCCAATGTCTCTGCACGACAACACGTCTGATAACCAAAGTAGGGTCTGTTTTGTTAATGTCAACACGATGTTTTCAGTGTGGAATAAATCAGATTCACTTAAGTAAAATGAGCAAACAGATTCCACCTCTGAATAACTGCAGAAACACACCAAGTGATGCATTAACCTCTAAGATGCTGGTAAGTTCAGGAGTAGTTTCAACAATAGTAGTGCACATATTTAATGACACTTTATGTTCAGTTGAGCAAAGTGGGAAAGAAAGTCTGAAAAAATGGGCATTCTGCAGTCATTTATGGAATTATGAGTCTGAACCGGGATGGTTCAAATCCAAATCCAAATGGAACTGTAGTCAGAATAGATACCATCAACAGCAATTGTACTAATGAACTTGTAGTTTTCTGATGAATCTCTGAGATTAGGGGCCATGAACAAAGCTGTTGGGAGCTAGCAGAGCTCATTCAGTGGCTGTGGAAAGTGGAACAGCTAATGGAAATGTTGTCATATTTGTCCTGTTCTTTATTTGAAGTGTTTGATGAATTAGCTCCTCTGTCAGTGAACAGAGCCTGTTTCTGCAGACAGTGCAGTGAAGTGTCCCCTTAGAAACCTCCATTTGCCCCCGTTGCTCAGAGTAACAATCTGACCCTTTGACTCAGTGGATGTTTTCCGCTATCACAATGCTGCTTAGGAAGCAAAGGTCTGCTGGAAACTGGAGGCACTGTCATTGGGCTGCATGTTGATTCATCTGAACAAGCCTCTGGTGAAGAGATCAAACCCACCCGAGTATCGTCTGAACCACGAGGCCGAGGAATGAAGCCACTGCTGAAGTGCCAAAACCTGCAGTTCCTCAAACGGCCACTTGAGGCTGGCACCAAAAGGGAGCCGGTCCCCACAGACCCCTGTGTTAAACCGCCCGACTTTACAGCAGAAGTAAACATGTTTACAGCCTGGTACAAAAAACGGTTGCCCTTTCTATAGCTAATTTCCTCTTCCATGATGACTGTAGGGGAGTGAATCTTTTTTCTTTTTATAACTTCACAGCAGGTTTGTCCAGTTTTTATATATTCAGTGGTCTGAACATGTGACCAGGACAGAAGCTCAAACATTTTGTCTTTATCTTCCATGTCGTAACTTCTTGTTTGAAGCATTTCTAAATCCTCAAATGTTCTGATTATTTACATGAAAATGTCAGATTTTCAGTGTGATCTTAGATTTTTGGCCGCCATCATTGTGATGAACATTGACATTTGTACTTTATAATTTGTATTAATTTTGTTCCATTTACCGAGCGATACAATAAAAAGGCTACTATGGACTAAGCTAACTCTAAAGCCATAATGTTTTAAATGTCTTATTTCTAGTTGCTTAGTTTTTTTCCTTTTACTTCTCTTTGAGACCATGTTGTGTGTTTTTGTGTTCTTTAATTTTTACATCTCTCTGTGGTGTTTTTAGCTGTTTGACATAGAGAGGGTTAAAAGCAGCCAGAAGATTCAGATGTGGTGTTTAATTTGGGAGTAACTAGCTTCGTGTAACGTCTGTGCTTTGTGCCACATCAGCAGTAACAAGAGCGTTTTGCTGGACTGCCACATTTACTGTGGCTTTGGATCTAGCATCAGTTTGTCCCAGCCAGGCATCCGTAGTTCACATAGTAACTTTAGCACACAAGACAAGAAGGGCAAAAAGCGGTTAGGAGCTGTTTATGGTGTCGGTCTGAGTCTCACTAGACGCTGTAGGCTGAAAAGACTTTAAAGGAGCTCGAAGGTTGAGGGTGTGGTGGCATCCACACCAAGGGAGGGGGATGCATGTTTGCCCTTTGACGAACGCCTTCACAAGCTTTTTAAGTGTGTATGTGTCATCCCCTGGCTGTTTGATTTATTTAGTGTCTCCAAATTGCAGTGGAGTTCATGCTGCACACCTGAACAGTCTTACTGTTTGTCATCTTCATCTTTTCAGCTCTTCTCAAAACAAACTGGAGGAAACTTCTGTGCTTCTGTCAAACTGTAGAGCAGGTTTCAAACCTCACCTTTATTCATGAGTGCGTGTCTGTGTTTTTGCTCAGGGGAGGACAGCAGTCCAGAGAACCTGCTGCTTCATGGTCCGTTCTCTAGGAAACCTAAAAGGATCCGGACGGCGTTCTCTCCCTCTCAGCTGCTGCGTCTGGAACGAGCCTTCGAGAAAAATCACTACGTGGTCGGAGCTGAGAGAAAACAGCTGGCCAGCGGGTTGTGTCTGACTGAGACGCAGGTAGGCATCATGGGAGACTGAGTTCAGTAGCTGAATGTGGATGTGAACAAGTAGTCAGACGCTTTACTGAAGTAATACCACAGTGTAAAAGTACTGGCATCCAAATACACTCGAAGTACCAACAGTACCAGTACTGGTCCAGCAGAACGGCCCGTGTCCCAGTAACGTCTCTGATACTGGATCAAAGTGACTAATTACTGTGTCCATCACTTTAATGCTGCAGCTGGTAAAGGTGGAGCTGATGGTAACTACCTTATATACTTATACTGGGAAGTACTTTACAGAATATGTGAGTACATCTACTGAGTTACTTTAATCACAAAATGAAATAAAAAGCAGCAGAGTTTCATCAAAGATCATTTGACATTTATTAGAAAGGATCAAATTGATAAAGCAATCAAAAGGAGTCCAATGACTAAAATCAATGTATATGAATGAACGATGCAGGAAAGGATGAACAAAAGCTGTCCAAAATAAAACAGGCAACGAAAAACAAGAGTTAATACTAGAAAATATTGAAGCATGACTAGATGGATGGATGAATAAATACTGTCTAGAATTTTTATTTAACGAAACAAACCCATAAATAAATGAATAAATAAAATTGTCCATAAAAAAACCCTCTGAAAATATGAATGAAAGACTGTTTTGGTTTAACATTATTCAGTTAGTAAATTTTAATTACATTTAAACTTAATCTGAAAGGATGAATGCTGATTAAATGACTTAACGAGTTATGGTAAATGGTAAATGGACTTTTATGCACTGGCCAAAGCGCTTTACAGGGAGATTATGGCATGAATGACTCAGTGGAAATATTTTAGATATTAATAAGGTGTTAAGTGTCAAGCTAGAGCTAAATGAAGAAAAACAAAATTCAGAAAATGTAAATATTGAGTGGCAGTTCAGTAAGTAAACAAAATTTAAGCAATTAATACATGAACAAAGAAATAGACAATTTTAGTAAATGGGTAAACATGAATTAATTAATAATTAATGAACAAATTAATGAATATATGAACAAACTGTACTGCAAAAAAATCACAACAGGTCAATATCTTCTAGAATGAATGGATAATAAATGAATGAGTGAATATAAATGGCTCAAAGCATGATTTAGTACAGGACATATGGATGAGTGAATAATTTACTGATGAATGTATGAATAGATACATATAAACTGTACCGAACTAAAAAAATTCTAAAAGTACCAAGACGATAATTTCACTACAGTCCAAATGAATAAATGTACAATAAATATGAACAAGTTAGAAACATGCACAAACAGAATGTCTTAACATGAATAATGTATCTAGAAATGAAATGTATATTTATTATTATTAATTTAAAAATAAATAGCATGTAAATAAAGTACATATTTGGTTCAGGAGGCATTTCGATCCAATTAAATTAAAGGTAATATGGCTGGATAAATGAAATCTGGAAAAAATAAAAAAAAACTACTCCTGCCCTGGATGAGCAGGGATTGTCCAGAAAAACCTAAACGCAGTAATGTTTGAAAAAACGAATGGATGGATGCAAAACACAGAGCAATAATGGAGAACTGCAAATGTCAGGAACGAAAGAATGAAGGTGGAAACGAGCAGGGTTTGTTCACCTCGTGCAATAATGTCTCCCAGAAAAAGAGCGAGCGAGCGAGTGCGTGTGTGGGAAAAGTGCACAAGAACCTGATGGTGGTTTTTCTGCTGTGGACGAACGAAGGTGGAAATGAATTGACAGCCTCTTTGGCAGCAGGTTGAGACCAGGCTGCTGGCGACGGTCCACGGGGAGTCGCTCTCAGCCTGATTGACGGTGCTTGTCATCGGCCCGCCCGGCGCTACGAGCTCTGACGCCAGGGAAACGCGTGAATCATCCACAATTACTGCTGAGCTGATTTCACAAGAGAGCAGAGGGAAAGGGAGTAAACACCAGGCAGCCACCGGCGCTGGTTAATCCAGCATCCGTCAGCACACGTCTACCGGCGGAGCGAGCCGTTTACCTGGACGGTCTGAACGCGTTCACCTGGCGTGGAGGAAGTACTGGCACCTTTACTAGAGGAGACGCAGTAATACCACAACGGAGAAATACTGTGACAAGTACAAATTCTGCATTCAAAAAAAAAAAAAAAAAAAAAAAGTTCATTTGTGATATGGCAAAATATAGTTGAAGTCAGTGTTGGAAAGTAACCAAGTACATTTACTCACATACTGTACTTAATTACCCCTTTGAGTATTTCCATGTCCTACTACTTCATACTGTGACTTCATATGTCAGAGAAACTGTATCAGAGACATTACTGTGACATGGGCCTTTCTGCAGGATGAGTACTGGTACTGTTGGTACTTCAAATATACTTGGATGATAATACTTTCATACTTCAACATTTTGAATGCAGGGTTTTACTTGACACTGTGGTGTTCCTACTTTAAGTAAAGGTTCTGAGTACTTCTTCCATTGCTGGTTGAAGAATCAGAAGTAAAAGTACTGTACTGTTCTGAGGTATTTGTACAGCAGAGAAATCATATAATAAGGACAGTTAAGCTCCACGGTGACCAGCTCAAACTGAAGTTGCTCAGACACTGATTGTAAATCAATCAAAGCTCTGATCAATACCAAATAATATAAAAGTAAAATATTTTTACCTTTGATTTTAGCAGTTTGATAATTATTGTACATCCCATGTTTACATGCAGTGGTCACTACTGCAACGCTGAGCTGGGCAGAAGTACATTTACTCAAGTACTATACTTAATTCCATTTTGAGGTATTTGTAATTTACTGGAGTATTTTTACTTTGCTGCTTGGTATTTGTGCTCCACCACGTGTAGGCTCTCTGACAGCTGTAGGTGTAAAGATGTACATGTATCCAGTATTTATTGAAAAGCAACAGTTTGAGGATTGTCATTTTTATGAGGCAGATTTTTTTTTGTAGTAGTAGTAGTAGTATTTCCTACCTCCGTGAATCATCTCCCCGTCCCTCAGGTTTCTCGTGGTGATGGCTAAAATACCAAACTGTGCATCAGGCAGTTAAAAGCAGCTGCACCTGGATCAGCTGCTACGCTTTGCTGATAATACTTGCCTACTTTTATTTAAGTACACTTCTTGAGTATTTTTACACCATTGTATTGGTACAAAGTGAAGGCTCTGAGTACTTCCAGCACTGAAGTACTCTTTATGCAGAATGGTCCCTTTTACTGTACTAAATTATGGAGTAGAAGTACGATATCTCTTTGTTTGCACTTGTACGAGTTACAACTATAAAATTAGCACAGCGGTCTTTGTGCTAAGCTAGGCTAACCATGGTAGTAGGGTACATGGTGAATCCCAGCAGAGCTTCGTCTGTCCAGACAGGTGCCTGCAGACACCTGTGAGATCAGCATCATATTTTATATAGAAATCATATTTCCTTACTTTAAAATCAAACTACTTAGTAACTGCTGCTTTTTACATAGCTATGCACTAGTACCCACTGAAATGTAGTGGAGTATAAAGTAGCATGACTTAGACATATATGTACAGTACCTGAATAAATATACTGGCTTCTTTCCTCCACTAATGTTCAGGAGGAAGAAAATACTGGAGCATTTATTCTGATTTACTTTGAGGATTAGGACTTGGTTTCCAATTCACTTTTTACTCAACTGCTTTCATCAAATGTTTTCTTTCAAAACGTGCTTGGCTTGTAATAACTAGTTAACTAAAGTCATGTTTAAAGTTTTAATGCAGGGCTCAAAGTGTAACAGTGTCGTATTTAAAGGAGTGACATTTGGGACGTATTCTCGTTTGCATTCTTGTAGCACATAGCAGTCGAGCCACTACTGTTTGTATGGTATTTAATTACCAAACTTCACAGGTGCAGGTGTGTTCATCAGCTCTGGGCAGAGCTCGCTGCTTTCCCCCCCCTCTGTGATGAGTTAAGCTGAGTATGTTCTGACTCCTGTGCTCAACAAACGGTGAGCACTCGCCCTGTTTCCTGGTAATTCTTACCTGGTGATTATCATTCTTAACATATCTTGATGGCACCAACCATTTGGCAGCTCAGCTGTCATGTTTCGCTGGAAAGGATGGTGACGTCCAGACCCCAGGCTTGATCTTACAACAATTACTGACCAGAACACCATTAGGATGCTATTATATAAGAGCTGTAAAGACTGGATAAGCCTCTCAGGTCTTTTACTTAAGTAGCAATATTACGGTGTAGAAATACTGTGATAACTGAAAGTACTAAAGTATTATCAGCAAAATATGTTAAAGAACCAAACATAAGTGCTCAGGCAGAATGAGTCATTTTCAGAGTAATGCATATTACTGGACTAATTACTGATGCATTAATGTGTACATTGCATTTAATGCTGCAGCTGGCAAAGAAGGAGCTAGTTTATAAGAATTTAATTTGAAATACTGCTGAGTAGCTTGTGAATTTCACCATAGATCACTGAGGTCTTATACTGTATTTTTTCTATTAATCTGGTTATGAGAAGTAACTAGTAACTAAAGTTACAAAATAAATGTACTAGAGTAAAAAAGTACAATATTTGCTTCTAAAATGTAGTGAAGTTAAAATGTGCCATCTTCTGGATGTTTGGAAATTTGGCTGCACTTAATGAAGCATAAAACTCATCCAGTTTAAGAGAGCTGAACTTCTCCTTTAAGACGGCGTCACATTGGAGATCAATCAGTTCCAACTGCAACTCCTGTGGCGCCGTTTCAGGGTTTTGTGTGAAGGGATATGACACCAGTTGAAGTGACTTGTCAATTTTTCCAAATTCGGAGAGCCGATGGCAGAATTCTCCGTGCAGGTTGTCCAGTGATTTCTTTTAATTTTTCACATGTCGAGGGGCCTCTTTCACCATAGCCAGTGTGGGGAAATGAGCGAATGACTTATTTGACATTTGCTTTGAGAATAAAGCTAGCTTGGTTTTGAAGGCTCTGACGTTTGTGAACATTTCGTGCACAAACTGATCTTTCCCTTGTAGCTTCACGTTCAACTCATTCATATG